GCCGGGCCCCTCATGGGGCTCGGCAGTGGAGCTGCAAGGCCGGCGGCGGTGGCCGGGACCGTTGGGGGCGGGGTGTGTGGCCTTAAGACACACTTCTGGTGATGTCAGGGGGTGTGGCCTTATGACACACTTTGCAGGTCCACCGCCGGGCCCCTCATGGGGCTCGGCAGTGGAGCTGCAAGACTGGCGGCGGTGGCCGGGACCGTTGGGGGCGGGGTGTGTGGCCTTAAGACACACTTCTGGTGATGTCAGGGGGTGTGGCCTTATGACACACTTCCGGTGATGTCAGGGGGTGTGGCATATGCTAATGAGTTATGCTAATGAGTTCCCCTAGCTCTTTTTCTACGAAACGACCCCTGAATAAGCCTGTCTCTGCTCCTACCTGAAAGTTGCCCACAACAGATGAGCCGAGAGCGCAAAGCAGGCCAAAAATGAGCCCGGCTAGGTTTAAATGCGAGTTACAACCATAGTCCCTCAGCTGCTGGTATTTCAGGCAGCAGATCGCCACACCTGGGGGAGACAGAAGGCCAAGGTTAAATGGGGGACTGTGCCAGCAGCACCCACTGCTTTCCCTAAGACATAGGGGTGCCAGCTCCAGGCTGGGAAATTCCTGGAGATTTATTTAAAAAAAAAAATTCTGGTAAGGGAGCTGGAACCTCAGAGAACGGCAACTTTGGAAAGTGCACTCTAATAGCACTGGAACACTGATTTCCTGAAGGCATTGGGGAAAGTCCCAGGGCAGAAAACCACGGCAGGTGGAACACATGGAAAAGCCACCATCTCTGGTGGGACCCCTTCTTCCCAAGCAGAGTTGCCAGCTCTGGGTTGGGGAATACCTGGAGACTTTGTGGGCGGAGCCTGGGGAGGGAGGACCTCAGTGGAACACGATGCCGTAGAGTCCACCCTCCAAAGCAACCCTTTCCTCCAGGGGAACTGATCTTGGATGTCTGGAGATCAATTAGAATAGCAGGAGGGCTCCAGCTGCCACCTGGAGGCTGCCAACCCTACCCCCAAGCCAGCCGGGAGGAGAGCGGACTTACCCAAAAAGGCTCCTATATTCAGGACTTGACCAAAGATGCAGCTTTGTGGTGGGTAGGACCCGCATGTGCTGGACAGAGAGAGACAGAGCATTGGCAAATGTCATGCATCTGGTGCTAAAGTTGGACTCTGGCCCTGGGTCGCCTCCCACTCCCCGCCCCCATCGCCAGAGTAAACTCGGTATCCAAGCACTGAGAGGGAGAACGGGAACGGGACGGACTCTGTGCCTCCTCCTGCCTTCTCAGTTCCACTGCCCAAAGCCAGTTCCCACTTTTCAGGAGCCACCAGCAGAGTGTGTTCAGGCTTCTTCCCCTGCCTCCCACCCTGCCAGCCCACAGGTCCCTCCCCAATGGCCCACCCGTGTGTCCTTCCCCACCAGCTGGTCACTTGCAAGGCCACCCACCACCAGGCTCCCCGCAGCGTGCATGCCCTTCCCGTGAGGATGGTGGGCACTGCCTGTGGCCGAGAACACGGGTGGTGGGCAGGTGGGGGGAATGGTATAGAGAGTAACGGGTTTAAATTACATGCAGAAAGGTATCGGCTGGATATTAGGAAAAATGTTCTCATGGTCAGAGTGGTCCAAAGGTGGAATCAGCTGCCTAGGGAGGTGGTGAGCCCCCCTTCACTGACAGCTTTCAAGAAGAGGCTGGACGAATATTTGCTTTAGGCTGGTCCTGCATTGGGCAGGGGGTTGGACTGATGGCAAACCTTTTAGAGACCAAGTGCCCCAACTGCGACCCAAAACCCACTTATTTAGCGCAACGTGCCAACACGGCAATTTAACCTGAATACTGAGGTTTTACTTTAGAAAAAACAACTCATACATTAACTTAAGATGAACCAAACAGAGTAAGGAAAGCAATCCCAAATGCTTTCATTTACTTAAAATTATTTGGCAGAGAATTCGACGCTTTAATGATGGTCTGGGCCTGGCTGGGGCGAGGGCACGCATGCCCACAGAGAGGGCCCACAGAGAGTGCCACCTCTGGCCCCCGTGCCATGGGTTCGCCATCACTGGACTAGATGGTCTGTATGGCCCCTTCCAACGCTATGATTCTATGAATGGTGCACTGGGGGGCGGCAGTGGGCCCCGCTCGAAGCGCTGGCGCCTGCCCTGCTTCAGGATATGCCAATGCTTAGCCCTGCTGCGGCTTCTGCCTGCCTTTCATTTCTCTCCGCCTGCCCCCTTTCAGGACTAATATGATAACTGGGACAGTTTTCTGGCAGTCAAACAGGCAAGTCCCCCGATCTGTCTCCCTCCTGTCCTGGCCAGACCCAGCTGTCTGGACAAAGGAAGCGAGTAACCGTGCGGTAGCCGCACTCAGCCGTGAGCCTTGCCTGGCAGCTGGCGAGATCTGGCGGCAGATTTCCTGATGCAGATCCCGGTTTGCATTTATCCCAAAGACAGAAATCCAATTTGGATGTATTCATCACACGTTTTATCCTGCCTTTCCATAATGGCTCATAATATTTTTACCTTTGCATACAGCCACCTCCTAGCTCAATAAATTTTTTTTAATGCAAATAAAGAAAATAAACACCCCAACAATAACAAAAGCATACAAGCATACGTCTTTTCCAGTTTACCTACCCAGAGGCTTTTACAAGCAAATAAGTCTTACTCAATAGCATAACTTATACAAGGGACAAAAAATGGAAGCACACCTGCTGGGAAAGATACTCTAATACTGGGGCAACCACATAAGAGACCCCGTTCTTTGATGAAAATTGATCTGGAATACAGGAAATCTGGAGCAGTGCCTCTTACAGATGACCCTAATAAGCAAGGAAAGATCATAACAAAGTCTAACTGAACCGTGCCCTGACCTGGACGGCTCAGGGTTGCCACCCTCTTGGGGACACCTGGAGGTAATGTTCCCTCTAAGCTGTGGAGTCTTGTGAGCAAAAGAATCTACTTTGTGAGCTACTGGCATTAAAGTTGTGAGCGAGCAATTTGGCTGCAGCATAAATTAGTTTGCTCTGGAGCCCTCCTTCCTGAGCTAAGACAAAAATGTGTGAGCCGGAGGCTAAAAAACTGTGAGCTAGCTCACACTAACTCAGCTTAGAGGGAACACTGCCTGGAGGTCTCCCACTATTCCAATTGATCTCCAGACTGCAGAGATCAGTTCCCCTGAAGAAAATGGCTGCTTTGGAGGGTGGACTCTGTGGCATTGTACCCTGCTAAGATCCTTCCCTTCCCCAAACCTTGCCCTCTCCAGGCTCCACCCCCCAAATCCCCAGGTATTTCCCAACCCTGAGCTGGCAAACCCACCCGGGCTAGCCCAATCTTGTCAGATCTCAGAAGCTAAGCACGGTCATCCCTGGTTAGTACTTGGATGGGAGCAGGGCTTTTTTTGTAGAAAAAGCCCAGCAGGAACTCATTAGCATAATAGGCCACACCCAACAGCAGGAACTCATTAGCATATTAGGCCACACCCCTGACAGCACAGCTCATTAGTACATTAGGCCGCACCCCCCATGTTACCAGAAGCGTGGTTATCCAGCCACACCCACCTTTTGCTTCTTATTCTGTTTACCTTGTTTGTTGTCAAAACCCAGGGCCTTTTTTGTAGCAGGAACTCCTTTGCATGTTAGGCCACACACCTCTAATGTAGCCAATTCGAATGAGTTTCTGATGTTGGGTGTGGCCTATTATGCTAATGAGTTCCTGCTGGCCGTGGCCAACTTGGGAGCCAGCCGGAACTCCGTTCCTGTGCGTTCCTGCCCAAAAATAGCCCTGGATGGGAGACCACCAGAAAGCAGAGGGTCTTTATACAGAGGCAGGCAACGGCAAACCATCTCTTGTCTTGGAAACCCTACAAGATCTCCATAACTTAACTGCTACCTGATGGCACTTTCTACCACCAATCAAACATACCTGATGTATGGAAAGCTTTCTGTGATGTTCACGGAGCCATTTGCTACTGCCATGGCGTACCTAAGGAAACAGAAATCACATAAGACAGCTAAAAAAATAACAATCCTGTATTCTTAATAGTTCTATGTTATCTACTTCTAGGTGTAAGGTACTCTTTTTTTTTGCTAACTATTTGGCGGGGGGGAACATGCAGATCTGTCCTTGCAGAGGAGGGAGAGCTTGTACCTGAATAAAACTTGGTCTTAAAGGTGCCACTGGACTCTTTTGGGCCAGGGGGCCCCCTCTGCAGCTTACCTGGCTGCTTCTTGCTCTGACTGAGGGCTGCTGGGAGCAGGGGGCGGGGCTTGTTGCATGTGCCCGCCCCCTGGGCCCTTTACTGCCGGAGCTCCGCTCCTGTGCGCTCCTGCAGGAAATGACCCCTGGATGGATGGATGGATGAATAGATAGATAGATAGATGGATGGCTATTTTTGGGCAGGAACGCACAGGAACAGAGTTTCGGCTGGCTTCTGAGTTGGCCACGCCTACAGCCTCCCCCCCTTGGGTTCCCCAGGTGCCTGACAAGCCGCGGAGCGCCTGGGGAAGCCAAGCCGATCCAGGTACTCCCCTTCCCTCAGGTGCCCCAGGCGCCCCGTAAGCCGTGGGGCACCTGGGGAAGCTGATCCTGGGAGGGAGCTGTGCTGTCAGGGGTGTGGCCTATTATGCTAATGAGTTTCTGCTGTTGGGTGTGTCCTATTATGCTAATGAGTTCCTGCTGGGCTTTTTCTACAAAAAGAGCCCTAGATAGATAGATATAGATAGATACAAGTTGAGCTGACAGGCAAAGCGCCTGCTTCCAACATGCAGAATTTATATAGCGCTTTAGAGAGTTCTAAGCATTTTACACACATTTCTCTTTAGAGTGATCCTGTAAAGTAGGCCAGTATTATCAGCTCTGTATTACAGTTTCGGGCTGCAAGCGGGTTGCCTAAGGTCACTGAATGCATTTACAATGCCAGAGGGCAAGGTGAAAATTGAGCACCTTCAGATATGCAGCTGCAGATTCTTGTTAAAATGAAACATTCAAACACCATGGAAGGGAGCAGATAAACCCAAAGCACATAATTTATTCAAACAGAGTTTGACTCCAGTGGCACCTTTAAGACCAACAGAGTTTTATTCTGGTTATAAGCTTCCGTGTGCATGCACACTGGACTCAAACTTTGTTCTGATGCTTCAGAGCTACACAGCTACCCACCTGAATAATTCTTTTTTAAAAAAATCAGACAATTGCCCATCATCCGGCAAGGTAAAGGTTAACAATGCTCACATCCACATCTCACATCCATTCCTGCGATAGACACAACCCACCTCTACCTGGTAAATCCTCCAGGGAAAATGTTCGCTAACATACAGTGCACACGACTTCCAGATCTGAGCTGACACACCCCACTTTTCAACGTCCCAACCCAACCAGTCCCTGAGAGAGGCCAGACTCTAGCTGCCCCTTCAAAGCTAGCCAGTCCCCTTCTTTGGATTACTCACACAACCCAGAAGCCGATGCTACCCCCTACAGCTAGGAGCACTGGAAGCAAAGCCCAGACCCACATGGCGGCAGAAGACCTGGAGGCGAAAAAGAGAAGCAGAACATCAAACAGAGGTTTGCAGGGCAGGATCCTGGGGTTCTTCAGGTAATGGGATGGGGGTAAAAGCCAAGAACCAGCCAGATCTGTTGCCTTCCAGTGTCCCTTCGTGACCTAGAGGGATTTGGTCAAAGAGGATCCCAGCAGCCTGGATTATTTGAAAAGTGGATAGAAGTCTTGTGGGCAACCAGAGACAGGATTCTTGGGCACCTGGGCTAGGCTTACAAACCAAGTGATTGCAAAACTCTGCCGGGCCTACCTGTTACCAAAGGCAGGGCCCCATCCCTCCAGAAAACTTCTGCCTTGATAACAAAGGCGTTCCCCTGAGGGTATACATATAACCTTGTGGCCACACCTCCCATTCAGCCAGCACCCAGCAAGGAAGGCTCCTGTCAAGAATTAAAGCAAAAGGCTACCTTTCTCTTATTGGGGGAGATCTTGCGGGGGGAGGGGGGGAATGTGCACAGACTTGGCTCCCACACAATCTGGAAACCGGCTCTGGATTTTCTGGTTCATCTTCTGCCTCCTTCCGTCTTTGGTGCCACACAGCATAGAACCTTCCTTACCTGGGGAGTATCTGCCCACACGTTCGGGAACTTGCTGTTCTCTCTAGCGGGCGGAAAGTGTTGGGTCCCAGCAGTGCTTTCTGATCGCCCCGCCCCAACTCTGACACTGGGCAAAGGGCAGCATGATGGCTCGATTACCGGGTGACTTTTGTTCCCGAGGAGCACCATCCCCGCTGCCCCATTTATGGTACCCTGTGCCTTAGAATAGATAAACCCTTCAATGGTTAATTTGACAAACTTGGGCAATGCTGAATGTGCCTTCCTAAGAGCCAGGAAACCTGGATTCTCTGCATGGAGATGTTAGAACACATGCTAGAGAAGGAAGCAGGAGGCTGGCAGTCAGTGATGCCCAGGGGGTGAGTAGAAGGGTGTGTGTGCCAGGAGCAGGGCAATATTTCCAGAGGGGGGGAGGCATTCTGGCATCAAGGAGGCTGAAGCAAGACTAGCCTGCTCTAGAACTATTCACTACCAGTTGGACCCCGGCCTTCCTCCAGAAAGCTCAGATTTCGTTGTTCTCCCGACTGTTCTTACAACCAGGGCTATTTTTGGGCAGGAACACACAGGAACGGAGTTCCAGCTGGCTCCCAAGTTGGCCACGCCCAGCAGGAACTCATTAGCATAATAGGCCACACCCAACAGCAGAAACTCATTAGGGGTGTGTGGCCTAACATGCAAAGGAGTTCCTGCTACAAAAAAAGGCCTTGGGTTTTGACCACAAACAAGGTAAACAGAATAAGAAGCAAAAGGTGGGTGTGGCTGGATAACCACACTTCTGGTAACATGGGGGTGCGGCCTAATGTGCTAATGAGCTGTGCTGTCAGGGGTGTGGCCTAATAGGCTAATGAGTTCCTGCTGTTGGGTGTGGCCTATTATGCTAATGAGTTCCTGCTGGGCTTTTTCTACAAAAAGAGCCCTGCTTACAACCACTGTGTGAGGTAGATTAGGCTGAGAGAGCCAGAGAGAAGGGGGGGGGGGGACTGGTTGGAGGTCAGTCAGTGAACTTTAGTGGTGGAGTGGGGATTTGAACTCAGGTCTTCCCAGTTACTAGGTCAACATTCTAACCACTGCAACAAACGGGTTCTACCAACAGGGATAGACCCTCCTCCCCACTCCCTGGTTCCTTGGTCCATCGTGCATCTTGTCTGCTTGCTTAGCTTGCCATCATATCCAAATCATTCAATAATGTTCACTACACTATTGTATAATAAAATGGTAATAGAAGGCAAAAACAAGTGTAGTTCACAGACTCACCAATTACAACTTGCCAAAAAGCTGAAGAACATGTAATAGAAAATAATGTACACAAAATAGCTACAGTGAAAAAGTACAAAATGTAAACAATAGAGAACTGGAATGTGCTACAATGTCTAAACAATAAAGAGCTACTTTGTATACACTATTCTCTATTACATGTTCTTCAGCTTTTTGGCAAGTTGTAATTGGTGAGTCTGTGAACTACACTTGTTTTTACCTTCTATTTCCAAATCAGACAATCCACGGTTAGCCCTAACCAGACCTGCCTCCAAACCATAGTTTGTAAACCTGTTTCAGTCTGTAGTTTCCAATCAGATCTAACCATGGTTTGACTCCTTTGGATTTTGCAACAGAGTACAGAAGAAACCAGGAAGAAGAGTGGCATGAGCACATTCTGCAGGTTGGAGGATCCAAACACAACCACTGTATTCTGTGAGAACTGGAACATGTGGGCCCATATTACAGTCCATGTGGCTGTGATGGTGTAGATGAATAAAGCTACAAACGCAGGAGTGTTGCTTTTCCTGGTTACTCAGCTTACAAAGCTACACAGAGCCACATTGCAAGTTTAGAAGAGAAATACTCCTCTCTTTATTTGACAAGTACACTTAGGATAGGAAAGAATAGGGACATGATAGATTGCTAACTCACTAGCTAAAGGATGGAAGCAGATGGTGAGAGACCCATCTGCCTCATGGTGCCAAGAGAGGACCGCATCTCTCTCTCTTGGTTCATGCAGGTAGAGAGTTTGTCCTCATCAGAGTGAGAGAGAAGAAGGAAAGGGAAATGGTCCCTGAGAACACAATCTGCATTTCCAGGGGTCGTTTCATAGAAAAAGAGCTAGGGGAACTCATTAGCATAACTCATTAGCATATGCCACACCCCCTGACATCACTGGAAGTGTGTCATAAGGCCACACACCCCGCCCCCAATGGTCCCGGCCACCACAGCCGGCCTTGCAGCTCCACTGCCGAGCCCCATGAGGGGCCCGGCGGTGGACCTGCAAGGCCGGCGGGAGTGCGAGGAAGCCCCGCGAAGGCCCTCCCTGGCCCCAGGCAGGCAGGGGTGGGGAGAGGCGGGGAGGAAGCAACTTACCCTCCCTCTTCTCCTGCCTCCTCCTGGCTGAATGAGGGCTGGAAGCAGGGGGCGGGGCTTCATCGTGTGCCCCGCCCCCCGTATCTCACCCGGGGGAACTGCATTCCCCCGCGATCCCCCCCGAAATGACATCTGTGCATTTCAAAGGAGACAGTGGCAGAAGAGTAGATAACAGGAAGAAAGGTCATTGTGCCTATCTAGCTATCTAGTCTCTCTTGCCACTCAGTCTGGAGGTCTGAGACAGGGGACATCACATCTGGAACTTCCAAGAGAAGTCTGTGCCTGAAGATTGCAACAGCCTTAAGTGTGCTGTGGACTTGATTAGATTAGACCATGCTAGGGAGGGGAAGGAAGGGAAGTTGCACCCCCTGGGACACAGACATAATGGAAACATTCTCACTAAAACACATAAAAACTAGCAGTAATTGAGGCCTTTTGGGAAGGAAGGTGGCATGGTATAGTCCAATCTTGTCAGAGCTGGGAAGCTAAGCAAGGCTGGTACTTGGATGGGAGGCCTCCAAGGAAGACTCTGCAGAAGAAGGCAACGGCAGACCACCTCTGCTTCTCACTTGCTTGGAAAGCCCCTTGCCGGGGTGGCCATGAGTCAGCTGTGACTTGACGGCACTTTAGACACACACCGTTCAGGCCTGTCTAATACTCATCAGATCCTTGTAAGGTAAAGAGAAGAAGAAGAAAAATAACATTGGGGTCCTTATATTATCAAAGGTAAAGGTAAAAGTTCCCTTACTTGAAAGCCAGTCGAGTCCGACTCCAGGGTTGCGGTGCTCATCTCTGTTTCAAAGCCGAAGAGCCAGCGCTGTCCGAAGACGTTTCCGTGGTCATGTGGCCGGCATGACTAAACACCAAGGAGCACGGAACGCTGTTACCTTCCCACCGAAGTGGTACCTATTTATCTACTTGCAGTTTCTTGCTTTCGAACTGCTCGGTTGGCAGGAGCTGGAACTAGAGACGGGAGCTCACTCTGTCATGCGACAACACGGGTCTCGAACTGCTGAACTACCAACCTTCCACAGCCTGCCGTTCAACGGCTGGAGGGCATGAATTATTCCGCCCCCCCCCCGCCTCAAATAAGCTAAGTGTCATCATTAGAGAAACGTTCTATTACAGGTCTAGCCTCTTCCCCTTGGAGGTCTGATACCCTGCATAAGATGTCCTCTGCTCTATCACAGACTGCAAACTTTTCTCATGCTTGGCTTCTGAGCATGGAACAGCAGTCACTGGGTGTGTGTGGAGGGGGAGGTATCTGCGAATTTCCTGCATCGTTCAGGGGGTTCGACTAGATGGCCCTGGAGGTCCCTGCCAACTCTATGATTCTATGATTCCGCTTTCCCTCTCCCGGCACCTTCTGTTTTGTTGTTTGGGCTCCATAACCAGCCTAAAGAAGACTTTGGCAACTGTGAGCTTGTTTTTAACGACCTGGTCCAGCCAGCCCTGTGGATTAGAGAGGAAGTGTGACTAGAATTCATTGGCTGGTTTAGATGAACAGTCTGTGTTTTCCATGCAGACTTCTCTTGGAGACAAACTCAAGGTAAGTTTCTGACAAAGCGAGCTTTGACTCTTGAAAGCTTCTACCCTGGAAACCTGGCTTGTCTCTGAAGGTGCTTCTGGACTCATTCTACCGCAGACCCAACACGGCTGGCCTTCTGAAACTGTCTTCTTGGAAAAGAAATGGTACTTTTTAAAACGCAGCTTCATTTTTAGTCACTAGATGGTAGCCTTATCACCAGTCCTCAAAATTCCTGTCTCACGCTATGTCTATGACTGGGAGAGTCACTATTTCATCAGGTCCGGCAAATCATAGTTTTTATGACATGACTACTGAGAATTCATACCAACTAAGGTCATGTGATCAGAATTTTTTGTTGATACTGTCAATGAAAACTAGAAAAATAAAACCTCCTGCAGCAAACTATACTTTGGCTATAACTAATCTTCACATTGGAGCTGCGGTGGCTCAAGTGGTCAAGACGCTGAACTGCAGGCTGTGGAAGGTCAGTAATTCAGCAGTTCGAGACCCGGGTGTCGCATGAT